ATTAACAGAGAAATCAACAATTAAAACTTTAAAAAAAATCGCATTTGTTGTTGCTGTACTAAAAACAACAAGAGCAAGTGGAATAATGAAGATTATAAAGCTTGATAAAGTCGATAATTGAGGTTGTACAGTTGAAACAGAATCGGTTTTTTTCTTTTTGCTAAATAGCAGCTGATTAAACAGGTCCTAAATATACCCAATGTTTTTCATCCAATTTCCATATCATTGAAAAAAAACTAATAAAAACTAAAAAAAAACTTTTTTTGCTTTCAAGTCACCTATTCATACATTTTCCCCGTGGAAAATACAAAAAAGAAGAATCTGAATAACATCAAAAAGAAAACAAAAAAGTACGACAAGATTTATACGAATGTCTAAATAAATAAATATTTTTATATTTCTAAAAAAATATTATAAACTTTTTTTTCCGTTTCTGCTGAAAAAAATACCTTTCTTTATTAATTGCTAATTAGTGAAAAGCATTAAATAGCAGTAAACGGTATACAGTCACACTGTTGCCCATCATTTGTTTAACTGTCAACATTTGAAATTTTTCGCCTCTTTCAAAACAACAACTTTACATAGTGAAATTTTTTACACTGTGTATTAGCAAACAAAATCAAACGATTGAAGATGAATGACGATTATCGATAACAACCAAAAATCTACAACGAAACAGTTTAATCACTGTATTATAATATCGTCAGAACGACAAGACAATGATTCTAAGTGATCAAACAGCATTTTTTTTTTTTTATCTCGAACACTTGACAATTTTGAGGACAACTAAAAAGCCCGGTGAACAGCTTATGATGATTTATCTTCTACACTTTGAATGCTTTGTTTTCTTGTTTCATTTAAAGAACTAGTGAAAATCGTTCGACCAACAGAAATTTTTCTCTATCACCGTCACCTCTTTTCGCACAAAAAAAAGAAAAAAAAATGGAAAAGAGAATAGAGGAAAGCGTTTATCTCTTTCAAATCCTTTATTTTTTTTTTTATATTTTACAATCGAATGATTGGAATACAGTTAAAGGTTGAAAAAATCTATAAACTTTTTTCTGCACAAGCGCTACTTTCTCGGGTTAATTTGTAGAAATGTCATTGATCTTCCTTTTATTTCTCCCGCAATTCAGATTTTACCAATGTGTAGCAACAGTCGTAACAAAAGAAAAAAAAACGTTATAACTTCTTTTGTCACATTTTACAAGGTTTTTTTATTCTTTTATTTTCTATCTATTGTCCTTACAATGAATACCACAAAAAAAAGGTCTCTCATCAGTCTTAACTTCTTTAATTTTCATTTAAGCAGAAGACCACAGAAAGAAATCTGTATTGCTTTCTAAAGAAAAATACAAAAAGCACTGAACAAAATAGTTGGAGATAACTGATGACTGAATACAAATGTAAAACCGAAAAAAAAACGTAGCTTAACAACTAAGTTCAGAATTACTCTCTTCTTTGTTTTCTTGTTCTGATGACCTCCTCCTGCTGTTGATTCATCAGAAGTAAATTAAATTTCATTTACCAAATGAACTTGTAGAATCCTATTATAAATAATGCCCAGTAAACAACAACTCTTTTTCTTTAATAAGTTTACGATTTTTGAAAAAAATGCAAAAAAGAAAAAACGTAACTTTTTTACACGTTAAGCAAGAAGTAATAATAATGATAATGAAATTGAAAAAGTGAAAAAACTTGAAAACTACTGATCAAATTTAATTTACCTAATAAGATCAGCGGTTGACAGAGCTGTACAGATTGGCTTCTCAACTTCATGCCGATGTCTTCTAAGTGAGTGAAGTTGTTGCAGTAATCGGTCCCGAAATTTTGCCAACTTACCATCATTAGCGCTGTGGACCGGCAGTTGAACATTGCGGTGATCTGGTCGATTTACCTCTGATACTACTGAGGACAAACAGCTTTTTGGTACAATCAACGGAACGGATGGAAATAGCAGTTTTGTCACTTTGTTACGGAATACGGCTTTATCTGACGGTTCAGCAGCAACAGATTTAGGAAAAAATGTTGTTGCCATACAGCCATCCATCGTTTAGGATGAAATATTCACCGGTTTACCGCATAGACAATCAATTTGGTCAATTCAGTACAGCTCAAAATCTCATTCAATTATGTTGCCAACCACACGACACCAAACAATTGTTAAACCGCATATCAGTTTAGAATCCAAAATTTTATAGCTGTAATAAGAAATAAGAAACATTCAGGAATGCTGCACACGCCAACAATGGCAAAATGAAAAAAAGAAGACACACTTTTAAAAAATATGCCAGAAAAAGTAAAGGGACTGTTTCTACTTTTTATGTTTGATTTTATAGCTTTCTTGAACAAGGACAGGAAAAAAACCGAAAAAAGAAAAGAATATATTCGATTACTGTCTCTGCTATTGTATATCAATGTTGATAAAACTAAATAAAATTGAATAAAACGAAAAAACAGAGAATGAAAAACAGTTAAAACATCCAAAAAATTTTCGTTTCACAATAATGGTTTGGTGGCAATTTTTGAACAACTCCAATTAGCAGCAAACATAACAACGATACCAAACTATATCAAACATAATAGAAATTGTATAAACCAATAACAACCTAGAAGGAAATAATAAGATTGATAATGGTTGAACTAACAAGATTATCAATATATTTTCCTTCTCTTTCTTCTTCCCTCCTCTTAAAAAGCGGCAATTGAAATGACTGTTTTCTAGTGATATTAGTATCAATAAGGCATTGTGTTGGCTGGGGAACGATAACAATATTAACCAACAAATAACAACGACCTTTTTTTTGCTCGTTAAAATTCGCTGTTTCATTCACGACTGTATCAAGTTTAGCGGCCTCCCCTTCTTCCCTTACGCTTCTACAGCATCAGCAGTTGATACTGCAAGAACTAGTCAGTGGAAAAGATGAGATTATTGTTTCTAAGAACTAATCAGAAAAGTATTTTAGCATTTTGCCGCTTTATACCTTTCCTATAACTAAAGATTGGCATTATCTGTTTATCTAAGCCACTAGTAAAATTAGTAGTTTTCTGATGTGCATTAATCTGCAGAAAAAAAAAAGAAAAACTAAAAATTAAAAAAAAAAAGAAAACTTGTTCAGTTTTTTTTCTAATTCTTTAACAGTAAATATCAGACACCTCAGGACGCATTCGGCCGACTTTACTTGTTTAGTTCATAACCTAGTTGAGGTTCTGTTCGCTTTCTTTTTTCTTAATCTACTTTTATCTGAGCTTAACCAATCTAGACGACTGGTCAAATTGATAAACCAAGATTTGAACGTTTGTCATTGACCGAATGTAGTTGAAGGGGAAAAAAAAAAGAAGGAAAAAGGATACTTTGGTGACTATTTTTTCGAAATAAAGTCAAATACAATGTAAAAAAAA